TCTTATTGAACTCATGTCTCAGCTGCTCTCGGGGGGTAGGCCCTGCTCTGTAATGCATGACAAGTCACTGTGGTTAGCTTAACCCATCCGGGTTTCCTAGATACAGGCTTTAGACACTTGCCAAAAATGTGCAGCCGGGACGCTGGGGAGAGTGAGGAAGAGAAGATCTGGAGGAAGGACACGAAGCATGGTCTCTCTGTTCCTCCAGGGCTCCTGAGGCTGCTTAGGCTTCTGGAGCTTGGATAGTCTCCAGCCTAGGCTTCTGAGTCTAAGATGGACAAGGTGGCCACCTTGAATGAGAAGCAGGTCATAGACTGTGTTTATTCTCGGTCCTAATTTGTCCCCAGTTTTTATGGCCTTGCTTGGAACAGTGATTCTTAAATTTGAACATATGCCAGAATCCCCTCGATTGCTTGCCTGCCCGAGTTCCTTATGCCTAGTAAGCTCCCAAGTGCTGCCCCCTGCTGGCCAGGGTGACACTGATTAGAGGACCACTGGCTTTGAACTTGTCCAAAGGCTGTATGTAGCAGGAGGAAGAGCTCCAACTTCCTCTTTGCTTCCTGCTGAGGGAGACCCAACAGTGAATGGCCAAGGGTGGTTCTCAGCAGAAAGGCCCACTACCATTAGTGCTTTGAAGCCACTGGACCATGAGTCCTGAGACGTGGGGTGTTGAGACCCTGAATGACTTTACTCTGTGACCTTGAGAAGTTACCTGTCCTCTCTGGGCCTGTTTGTCCCCCTTTAAAACGAGAAGGTGGCACTTTTCTGCATGCTTTATTGTTTTTACAAAACAAGAATGTTTTTAATAATAAAAAGGAAGACAAAATGAACGGTGCAATCTTGAAGGAGGGTGGAGGAGTCTTGTCGGCTCAGTGTGCTTGGAACCCTGTGAGTTGGATCTCACTTGGGTTTGAACATGGCTCTATGTTTGGCAGTTGTGAGGATTAGGGTGAGTTACCCAACCCGGTGGGGCCTTGGCCTCCCTGTAGGGATAAGGACGCCAGCCTTTAAGGTTTTTGAGGGACCTGAGGACTGAGATAGACCCATAACATGCAAGGGTGACAAGCCTCAGCTATGATGGTTTCTATTTGCAATTTCTTTTCAATGCTTAGAGACACAGGAAGGCAACTCCTTTTCCCCATCCCTGCCTTCCTGTGCAGTCTGGTGACCTTCATGGTAATGGTGGAATGAGAGATTGTACATGTCTCAAGTTTTCCCCTGGAATGATTGTTCTGGGAAATACTTAACTCCCCAAAATTTCTATGAACTGTTCCTTGTCTGATTCCCACTTGATTATTAATTTAATATTTATTGAGGGCCTGCCATATGTGCAATATAGGACAGTCACTGAGACTTAAGGGAAAGAAAAAAAAAACCTAGATGTTGTCTGGCTCCCATGGCGCTCACAGGCTGAGGGAAGGCCTACTGAAAGGATTACATCTGAAGGAAGAAGAATTGACTGGGTGAAGAGGGAAGGTAGAACCTTCAAGGCATAGAGAATGACCCATGCAAAGGCCCTGAGGCAGGCTAAACATGGCACCTGCAAGGAGCTAGGCTGGAGGGCTGTGAAGACAGGAGGGTGAGCAGCAGGGAGTCTGGCTTTTAGCCCAAGACCAACAGAGCTTTTGGAGGTCTGCAGCAGAAAGGACCACATCACGTGAGGTGAGATCTCAGGTATCTCCTCTGGATGCAATCGGAGAAGATTCTAGGGGCCAGAGAGGCGTAAAAAGATCTGTTAGGACAAAACTGTGGTGTCCAGACAAGGGATTCTGGATGGAGAGTGTGTTGGGTGTGTGTTTGAGATGGACTTGGAGGTGATTGACGTGGTGGGTGAGAGGTGACGGGCAGGGGGAGGAGAGTCTACCTGCCCTCTTGACTAGCTGTTTAGGTGGATGGTGGTGGCTTTCACTGAGCTAGGGTAGAATTCTCTGTCTCTGCTCCTGAACATTTCAGATCCTGGCTGGTTACTGACACACTAGGGACCCTCTGTGTGTATTTTGGGGTCCTCACATTGTCCAGAGAGCCATAAAACATGCAAAGAGCTTAGTACAGCAGCTGGAACTCAACAATGACACCTGCTGGATTTCCAAGCTGAGATAACACTGTTTCTTCAGTTACCCACTGTAGGACTCTTCTACCTTGAGCTATCTCATCTTCATTGGAGCTGACAAGCAGGGAGAAGGGACGTGGGGCTTGGTGGAGGCTGAGCTTTTACAAGTGAGACCAGGTGTCTCAGATGTGAAGCCAGCTCTAAACTAGCTGTGTGACCAGAGGTCTAGAGTCAGGAGACTGAAATCCTTTTCCTACTGCAGACCTCAGTTTACTTAACTGCAAAGTGGAGGTGGGGCATTAGATTGGAGTCTGAAGTGGAGCCCCTGGAGCTCCAAGTCCCTAGGGTTTTGTCTGTGCTAAAAGAAGCATATGCTGAAAACCAGACCTGCCTTCCTCCTCAGTCCTGGGGCTTTGTTCAAGCCCTTCCAGCTACCCAGCTGATCTTCAAACTTGCAAACTTTCAGTGCTAGACCCTTCTGCCTTCCTTCTTTCTGGGTTCCTAAATCCTGGGTTCTAGCTTGTCTGGCCTTTCCTTCTGCCTGGAGTACTCACTCAAGGCGGGCTGGCCCACTACCTGCCTGTGCTCAGACCATTCCCTGACCGGGACACTTCGTCCTTTCCGACTCTCTCATGGAAGCCCTGTCTGGGGTCCCCAAAACCTTCCTCTGGGCTCTTCTTTCCTAGGATCTCCCTAGTCCTCACTGGCAAGTGTCCTTCAAATAGTTGCTGGCTTCATACAATACCAACTTCTTGTGTCCTGCTCCCCAGAGCCTTGCACTTGAGTGTTGGATCAGGGTCAGGGGACCACTACCCTGAGAATCCCCAAGTCATTCTCCCCTGTGCAAATTCCCGAGGTGAGAATCTGGGGAAATTCAGAACTCACCTTACCAGAAGCATCCCCAGCTGATAGGGGTGGATTTCTTTGCTTTGGTCTCGTTCATCTCCAGAAATGGGGCCACCCAGCCATTTCCCCAACTTCTGGCCTAGACCCTCTTCCTAACAAAGGCTTCCTCAGTGGAAGAGAGCCTGGACACACAATACTTGCCAACAAAAGCAAGCATTGTAGCCCTCGGGCAGGGATGGGGGCAGGGAAGCAGGGTGAGGCTCTGCTTTCTGTTTGCCAAGACTGGTTCCAGGGAAAGCCCCAGCCCTCCCCATGACTCAGATGCTGGGGTCCCAGCTGCAGGCTGTCCCTCTTGACTTGTTCTGCTTGAGGCAGGAAGAAAGGCTGGAGTGGGGCCAGGACCCCCTGAGTTTTCTCTTCTTTGCATGGACCTCAAAGGCAGGGAGAAAATGAGCAATCCTTATGATATGTGTCTTTTCTGTCCCCACAGGGTTCCACTCTGCGGCTTGGAAAACTGAGACCCTGTGAAGCCATTATTTAGCAGAACTGCTCCACCTGGTCATCTCCCAGTCTCTCCTTCATCCCCACCCTCCCACCTTGGCCCCCTTGGCCTCCCACACAGTGCCCTGCCTGGCTTTTGATTTCCCAGGATCTTGAAGGACCAGAAAGTGCAAAAACTCTATGCTTCCTGAACTTCATATAGATCAGTTTGGGGGGTGCCATGTCCAAATTACTGGGTGCTCCCATGTTGCTTGGAAGGTGATATGCTCACTGACCTGCTTCCCAAAACCTCAGTATCATTTCAAAGCTTCTTAATTTTATGGTTATTAAAAAAAAAAAAACAACTTTTGAGGGAGGGGGGATAAAGGAGAGTGATGGAAAGGGTGAATTTGACTGAGATATATTGTAAGCACTGTTGTAAGTGTCACAATGTACTCCCAGTACCACAATAATGTGATAATAAGAATTAAAAAAAAAGAACTTTTCTCCAATTTTCACCTCTGGATTGCTTGAAATACAATTTATTTTCAAATTATTAGGAACACATTTACAGAGTAAAGCAGGAATGTCACTTTTCTGATGGCTGTTGGCCCTGACTATGGAACTGGTCTCAACACCATTGCCAGGCCAGCCATTTGCTCTTATCTGTCCGGCTCTTGGTTCCTTTCATTGTGGACCACGGCAGGTGCTATTGGTGCCAGGAGTGTGTGTGGAGGGCGCTTATCATATATTGGGCACCAACGATGCGTTATAGCTAACATCCAGGTCGCAGATGAGGAAATTGGACTCAGAGTTGGGATTTCAATCAGGGCTGCCTGACTACAAAGCCAGAGCTCTCTCCTCACCTTGCTCAGCCTGCTCTTGGTCAGGACTCAGCACAGTCAAAGCACCGTGGGGCCCAGGTTGCTGTACTCTGCAAAATGGGTAGATCTGAAGGGTCAGTGATTAGGAGGGCATCCATACCACTACGAGAGAAAGTGGGGGACTCCTCGGGGACTCCTTGGGGACTCTCTATTCTTCATCCTCCAAATGTAGTCAGACGTCCCTTTGGCGCCTTGACTCTGCAGCAGTAACACTGAGCCGCCCAGCAGCCGACAAAGGGGCGGAGCGGCCATGGGAAGCGGATTGGGGCCATCACTCCGGAAAGCTCCGGCGTCTGAAGGGACCGTCGCCCCGTGCGCCAGGAGCCCCTGCTTGGGCTCCGCGTGGCACTTCCGATCCCGGCCGCTCGCCGCTGCACTCCGCCCTCGGGCGCCGGCGCCCCCTGCTCCGATCCGCGCCCGGCTCCGCCCCGCCCGGTATGCCCACCCCTGGCCCGCCCCGCGCCCCTGGCTCGGCTCCTGCAGCGTCCCGGAGCGGCACGGCGCGGGCGGACCAGCAGCCGACAGTTGGCACCCGGGGCGCTGGAGCGGTTGGGCGCCCGAAGCCAGCCGTCCAGGCAGCGGTGCAGTGCGGGAGACCGGGACCCGGCGATCCGGAGGCTATGAGGCCGGGAGGAAGCGGAGGCCGCCTGGCTGGCGCTCGGGCAGTGCGGGGAGCGCCCCAGCCTCGCCCGCAGCCCGGGGCTAGGGCGCCTGCCCGGCCCGCGTCCCCGTGCCGCCACATGGCTCCGCTCTGCGCGCTGCTGTCCTGTCTGCTGTTCTGCACGCTCTGCTCCGCCGACAGCCAGACTCCAGGTGCTTGTGGGTCGGGCGCGCAGAGACGCGTGGGGTCCGGGGTGCAAGCGGTCAGAGTGGCCCTCAGGGTGCCCGAGTCATGCCCGCAAGGTTGCACCGGGTGGGAGCAAGGCGGTGCGTACACTCAGGGTTGAGCTGCTCTGGCTTCTTTAACCAAGTTCTCTTCCTTTCTGTCACTGAAGGAAGAGAAACTCCAGCAGGGGATTTGGGAACTTTGAGTCTTTTCTTAGGGGAGGGTCTGTCTGTTTCTGGCTCTTCCTGTGTCTTTCTTTTTCAGTGTCTGCTCATTCTCCAACTTGAGTTCACGCGCGTGTGAGAGTGTATACATGTGCGTGGGTCTGATTGTCTCACACACAGAATCAGGGTACCAGGTGACTGCTCCCACCTGGGCACTGGCACTTCTGCACAGAAACACTGGCATCTCTGGTCCTTTCCAACGTAGCATTCTCAGAGTGTGAGGACATCCTGTCAGGTACAGGGCAGACACACTGCGCCTCACCTTATGGCATGCGGTAGCCTCCTGGTGGTTCTGTGGACCTGGGAGGAGGCTCTGGTCATTTCCAGGCAGGATTCAGGTGCTAAAGTGGTACCACTCTTGCAGGAGTCTTGTGGTCCTCCACTATAGTGCGTCGGAGGAGAATTAGCACTCTACTGGTAGCTGTGTTGGAGTTTTCAGGACACATCATTTTCTATGTTTTATCAGCGCAGCGAACTGGGGAGAGGAGAGATAGAGCAGTGTGGAAATGAAAATTCCTCCCAAACTCATATCCATGAATCACCAGGCCTGAAAGCCAGGGAACTGTCATTCTTGCCTGGCCTGGGTAGGCGCAGGGAGAGCTGTGTGAGGATGGGATGGCTGGCATGTGGCCTGGAGCATGGGGCCGTGACCTCACACTTAATTCAGCCCAAGTGGGCAGGTCACCCCCTGTGTCTCCTTTTATTTTTGAAGATCTATATTTATCCTTCTTGGGACTGGGCCATGCAAAAATCTCAGCAGCCACTCTGCTACTTTAGAAAGTTTTCTTTTTAACCTTGGAAAAATATAGAACCGTGTATTCTCTCCTTCCCTACTCCAGCCCCACCTTTCTCCACGACATGGGCCAGGATCCCCTGGGTTTCTAGGTGTGTTTGTTTTGGCAGCTGCATTCTTTGGAGCTTGGCGAGGATGGCCCTACCCCAGCCCGGGCTGGTGACTTCAGCACATTAGGGGAGTTTGGGCAGATTTGTCCCTCCCTTTCTTGCCCTGGGGGATTTCGTAGAATTTCAGCCCTTTCTTTAGCAGTGCTCAAGGTTGGAAGGCTTATTGCTAGAATGACAGGATTCTGGTATCATTTGTTTTCTTTTGCTAAATATAAAAAAGACCCAAGGGCTGCAGCAAGTAATTTATATCCACAAATGTGTATTCAACTGAACAACCAGTCATCCAAAGGTAGAAATCCAGGCGCTCATGAAACAACGGGTGGAAAATAAATGGACGTGGGCTAAGGGATCCATCAAAGGTGACAGTCAGGGTTGCCAGTCCCTGCTTCTGCCCCCATGAGATTTCCAGCTTGCTTTTGTCTCTGCGTGCGAAATGACTCTTTGTTTACCTCCAACAGAGCATCTCTCTGGGAAGCTCAGTGATTATGGTGTGACTGTGCCCTGCAGCACAGATTTTCGAGGACGCTTCCTCTCGCATGTGGTGTCCAGCCCTGCAGCAGCCTCCACAGAGAGTGTGGGAGTGGACAGGTCACCTATCGCACCATCGCACTCCAGTCACCGGGTGGCTCGCAGCCCCCTGCAGCTGAAAGTGTCACCTGCCAGGCGGCATTTCCTCTACTTCAATGTCACTGTCTTTGGGAAAGAGCTGCACTTGCGACTGAGGCCTAACCGGAGGTTGGTGGTGCCCGGGGCCTCTGTGGAGTGGCAGGAGGATTTTCAGAAGGTCTTCTGGCAGCCCTTGCAGCAGGAATGTGTGTACACTGGAGGTGTCACGGGGATGCCTGGTGCAGCTGTTGCCATCAGCAACTGTGATGGATTGGTAAGGGACCTGACTCATTCTCTTAAGCTTCAAGCCCTTCCCGCAGTCCCCCACTCATGTGGTGCTCTCCTGGGTTTGGTATGCTTAAGAGCATGGTATGCAGTGGGACCAGTTCAGGGTTGTGCTGCCTTCCAGAGAGGGTACCATGTGCGCTGGCCAGCCACCTCCACTAGGTGGGTGTGAAGCAGCCTACTTGCTCATTTCCTCACCATCTAGAGGCCCACCTGGACCTTGTGGTACCTGGCTACGTTCTCTGGGCCTGGACAGACATAGGTCTGAGGCCCAGGCTCTGGGTGGCTGTACTACTTGCTATCTGTGAACATGTGGTTCTTTCTCATGCATAAAATGAAAACTTATTCATGTCTCACATACCCACTTCCTAGATGCTGGGGATATGGTAGTGCCTGAGGCAGATCTTGTCCCTGTCCTCACCAAGCCAACAGGGTAGTTTTCTGTGTCCTACCTTACCAGCCATCTCATCTGGTAGTTGGCTTGTGTGTGGCACAGGGCTCAAGGCTTAGTCAGTGGTAGCTGCTGATATCATTACTGCTGATGTTTATTACACCTTTACTCTTCCTCCTTTCAGCATCTCCCAAAGCTGCTTGCTCTTTCCTGGCTTCTCTGCATGGTCCCTGTCTTAGAACCCCTCACCTTCCGCTGGGAATGTCCTGCTGCCTGGTTTCGTGTTGCAAACCAGAAAGCCATGGATGGGTTCTTTCTCACTGTCCACCTGTGCTGTCTATCACTCCCTCTGTTTCCCCTCGTCTGTGTGCCAAGCTCTTATGAGCCTGCCTGGCTACCTCTGCCCCTGATTGGCAGTTCTTTCCTCAGTCTCCTTTGGCAGTGACATCAGGCATGAACTGATGTGTCCCAAAAAGGGACCCACTTGTCCCTGTGTACTTCAGCTTTGAGAGAGAGTGAGAGCTGGGAGCATTTGTCCCCATTTTCTTCTCATCCTTCCTGCCCAGTGTCGTGATTGCCTGTGTCTAGGTCCATGGTATTCTCTCTCTCTCTCATTTTTTCATTTTTTTGAGACAGAGTCTCCCTATGTAGCCCGTACTGGCCTCGAATTCACAATCTTCCTGCCTCAACCTCACAAGTGCTGGGATTACAGGTGTGCACTACCACCCCAGCTTAGGCCTGTGCTTCTCAACCTTGTTTATTATCAGCCTCCATGAAACTATTTTAGTTTCATCCCCCCACAAAAATATACTACCACTGATACGCTGTGTGGATATATGGCATTTCCTAAAACCAGTTTTCACACCCACTGCCAGCATAGGGCTGCCGTTGAGAGGCATGTAGGCAGTGTGTACTACTGAGCACCCCACCAGAGGTGAAGAATCTATCTCTCCAGAGTGGGCTCAGCAGCTGTGTGTTCTACCAAACCCTCCATGGGATCTGAGGCAAGGGTTCCATAGACAGACTGAGAAAGCCCAGTTGTACAGTCAGCAGGCAAAGCCTGAGAGCTCATCTGCACAGCCAGGGAGGTGCTCAGTAAGTATATGCTGGGGATCTCTGCTAAGGCAGGGGTGGATGACCATCACCATCCAGACCTCCTGAGAACCTCCCACAGTCTAGAGCCAGCTCAGCAGTCTGATGCTGCAGGGACTGGACAATAAAGACCCCCACCCAGCACATTATGAAGCATGACCACATGGCTGCACAATCCAATGTGTGTGACGGCAAGTTGTGCTCTGGTTGTTGGGGCTGCAGATGGTGGAGGTAGGGCCGATTGGTGGGCCCTGGGCTCAGCATGCTGACTTTTGGTGGTCTCTTAGTTAATGCTCTCATTAACTGTGTGACCTTGGGCAAGTTGCTCCCTGTCTCTTCTCATTTGTCCAAAGAGAGGTTGTACTTGATACTGCCTGGCAGATGTGAATTGATTCTGTGTGACCTTTTTGGAGGCTGAGTCAGGTCTCTGAGGCTGTCCATGAGCCTTGTGCCATACCTTGTACAAGGGGTTCCAAGGAATGACTCCATAGGGTTTCCCTGCCCTTATCGAGAGGCAAAAATGGAATTCCCTGGGCCAAGCCTTAGGCTGGATCACTGCATTCCACCATTGCTTGTGCCCTAGGCTGTCTGTCTTCAGGCCAGTCCTAAAGTTCATTGTCTGGATGCCTACTCTCCAGGCCAGCGTGGCACCCTGTGGCTACCTTTCTCCAGAGGCCATCAGCACTTGTCCAGTGTAGAGGCCTCTGGAGTGGGAATTTCCTCTGTCCCAGCCCAGCCAGGGAAGTGCCACTTCACATGGCCCAGCTGAGCTTATCTTTGGACTGTAAGGCTTCACTACAGCAGTTCCTATGATAAGGTTTAATTGTTCTTTTATGCTGTCCCTGAATCTTAACACTATTTTCTCTCACATCTCATTCATTCCTAAACAACTGAAAATACATGTGCTAAAAACACATGTACTGGGCACCAGCCATGAGCTGGCCACGGGAGATCACAGGAAAATAACAGTAGCACAGGTAAGATAAAGAGTCTGTACCCACGGTTAAGCATGAATTAACTGCAGTGCACAGTGTTGTCCTAGGCACCCATGGTAAGTGACTTTGTTGGGTAAGCAGGGAGGTGCACAGAGGGTCGCTGCCCCCAGTGCAGGTTCTAGTTCAAATGCGAAGCAAACACCCATGTAGACACTGTGATTTTCAGCAAGGCAGTGAATATGCCACATGGCTACAGGTCTGACCACACAGGGCTTTTCTTCGGGCCGTCTTACAACTGAAGGTTTGTTGGGCCATGAAAGCCAAGTTCAGGACAAGTCTTACTCTTCTCTGAACCTGCAGCCCATCACAAGCCTGGCAAGAGCTAGTGCTAAGTACCAACCAGGGAGGGAGGAGTCAGCTATGGGTTTAAAGGGCTCAGATTCAAAATCCCAGCCAGGACTGCCCTGTGTCATGAAGCAACAATCCACAGCTGGACATGGCTCCCTGGAGGAGGTGGTATTGGCTCAAGACTGTTCAAACATGAACTAAAGTGCTGGGTTCTGTGCCAGCAGAGAGAGTGACTGACCCAGTCAGTCCTGAGGATGCTTGGGGAAGCAAATAAGGGATGTTGGGGACGCTCAGTCCCACCTGCAAAGTACCTCTCTGGGGCTGAGGACAGCTAGCTGGGATGCAGGGCCCAAGCGGGAATGTGTCCAGATGGCAGTGACCCAATGGCCAGCTCTTCAGACTAATGCCCTATTCCAAGGAAGAGCATGAGGCCTGGGCAGGGTCCAGTTATTTGTGGGTCTTACAGGGGCAGGGGCAGGAGCAGCAGGGTGGGCAGGCTTCTCATGGAGCTGTGCATTCAGGACTCAGGACTCAGACCGCTAGTCATCACTGCCTGCATGGGTCCTGGGCCATGAGGCCCTATGCTGGCTGGTGGGGGCTTGGCTACGTGGGGCTCCCTCCTTTTCCCTCAGTGCCTCTGTGAGTCAGGGCCTGGCGCGGAAGCAGCCACACGTGTAAGATTTGTCACATCTGGTTCCATTTTCCACTCTGCAGATCCTGCATTGTTGATGGGTTACTCTGAGTAGACCCTTGTAGGCGGCGGGGAGGGTATGAGGAGGCAGATTCCCAGCTCTGCCTCTTACGCTGGCCATGTCCCAGGGACCCTCTGAACCACATTCCTTTTCTCTTTAAAATGGGACTGCAGTGACCAAAGAGTAAGGGCTCTCTTTACTTTTCTTTTGAGATTGAAAAATGCTCTAAAATCAATGATGGTGGTGGTTGCCTAGCTGCACATACTCCAGTAAATTGCACTTTAAGTGGTGGATTGTATTGTGTGTGAATTATAGTTCAATAAAGCTGTTATAAAAAGTGTCTGGCCTACAGAAAGGTCCTGGAGAGGCACTGCTGGTAGTCATGAGGATATGGTCTAGGATGTGAGAAGTGTGGAATCTTCCATTCTGGTGCCCACTGTCTGTGTGGCCCTGAGTGTTTCTAATCTCTTGGGCTTAGGTTCCTCAGCTGTGGGGACAGCAACTGTCTAAAGGGGTGTTCAGAAGTTTCATGGGGATTGTGTGACATGTCTGGTTGATGGTGGGGCCTTGAAAAAAGTGCACCATGAACTCCACAGGTAGCCTGGAGGTGAGTTCATAGAAGAAGCCCTCTTCTCAGAGAAGCTCAGAGAAGGCTTCCCAGGGAGGGGACATTTGGGCCAGGTTTTAAATGATGTATATGAGATTGTAAAACTGTGGAGGAGGAATTGCAGGTATTCTGCAGGGAGAGAAATCCTGTGTCTTTGTAGGATTTGGGAAACAGCAAGTCCTCCCAGGTCTCCGTGGGAGATGGGGAATGTGAGAAAACATAACCTGGAAATTCTCCATCTCACCATGGAGCCTAGCATTCCTGGGGCCCCAGGGAGCTATGAGAGGTTTGTGGGCATGAGTGATGTTAGTGCTTGGGAAAGATAGTCATCTTTCCAGCTGCAGAGCTGGTATGCGCAGGTTTGTCTGTGGTTCTCACCCAGGGATTGCTCCTTTCTGGGTAAATGTGGGGACTTTCCTGGAGACCCCTTGGGAAGCCCCAGGTTGGCCCTACATTCCCCCTCTACTCTGAACATGTGGACTGTGCAGGCCTGGCTTCTTCACTTTGACCATGCTCCACTCAGACACCCAGCCGGCCTGACCCCTAATAACAGCCTGCAGACTGCTGCCCTCACACCTCGGTGCCTAGAGATCCTGGGAGGGGCAGGGGCTCACCAGAGTTTGTGTTGAACCTCACATCGGTGCAGACATTGCTGACCTGTTCCTCTCACCTCATCGGCTCTGACTCTGTAAACCCCTCCAGGCCCCACCCCTACCAGGCTGGTCTGCTCCTGCCTCACTTTCCCATCCCTGACCTTAGCTCATGGTCTTTACATCTCCCACTGTGTCTCTCCCTTCCACTCCCTGATGCATGTCCCTTTTCAAACTCCAGTCCCTAGAGATCAGACACCGTGCTTCAGTATTTGTGCTTGAGTACAAGGCTGAACCCCAGGGTTCAGGGACAAGAGATAGAAATTTCAGATAC